TTGTCTGGAGGTGCTATTCAGCTACCTATATCAGTTGTAGTCCAGCCTATATCTACATACAGAGAGTCAATAGTGCTCCCTGTACACAGTGGTGGGTATTCAGGGGACCAGCAGTGTGGAAAGCACGGGCAGGCCGACAGACATATGTACGTGGTATTCACAACACTCGTACAATAATGGCTTTGTAGAAATGGTATTGAAAGAGAATGATATTTGTGATAGCTTTGGGAAGTCTTCAGATCCATGCTTTACAAATTTGTGTTTTGGATTATAGCTGAATTCATTTATGATAATCAATTTTTCGCATCTTTGAAACCAGGGCGGCGACACATTTTGCTTACCTGCACAATAATGTTATATCTTTGGACATTGGTGATATGAAGCAAGTAATCATGGTGGAAGAATTTCAGATGCTGTCAGGGGCGATGGGGAGCCTGGTGGTTAAAGCGTTTGCTTATCATGCTCAAGACATGGGTTCGATTCCCCACATGGGTACAGTGTGTAAAGCTCACTTCTGGAGTATCCTGTTGTGATATTGCTGGAATATTGCTAAATGCGGCGGAAAACCCATTCACTCACTCAGGCGGTGGGGTAGCCTAGTGGTGAAAACAATGGCTCGTCATGCCAAAGACTTGGGTTCGAATCCCAACATGGGTACAATGTGTGAAGCCCATTTATGGTGTCCTCCGCCGTGATGTTGCTGGAATATTGCTAAAATCAGTGCAAAACCAAACACTCAGACACTCAGTCAGTCACTCTCTCTCACTCACTCACTCACTCACTCTCACTCTCTCACTCACTCACTCACTCACTCAGATGCTATCTTGCAGCAAGTTACAGTGAGTCAGTGAGCGAAGTTCGCAATGTTCCACTCCCACTTTCACTCAATGTTCCAGCAATAACCACTAGGCTCACACTAACCACTAGGCTACCCCACCGCCCCTGCAGCAAGTTACAGAAAACCCCAGCCAAACAAATGTTTCCACCTAGGCATGATAGTTAATAACATTTTAATAGGATGCTATGACAGTCGTGTGATAAATCTGTTAACATCTACAAATCGTAATGGGAGTTGGTCATATTGTTAAAGCATTCAAAGTGTTTGATTCCCAAACTGGGTTTGGTGTGTCTTGTGGTATGCCTGGGCTTAATGTTGCCTTGATGAAATTTAAGGCGTCTTCATCCTCCTCAGATTCAAATACTAGAGCCGAAAAGCAAATAGGCAGAAGACCTATGTTGGATTTAATGACAAAAACTATTCTGAGAAAGTTAAGTTCCCTATATATAATGACGTCACTAAAATTGAAAATAAAAATACACCACCATTTAGAAAGTGGTCAAATGCAATATATGTTATATTCAGGATTACACTTTCTCAGTTTACCGTTAGTTTCGAGAAAAGCGGCGGTGGCTGAGTGGGTTAGATGGCTGGCCTTGTGTGCTGATGATTAGGTGCCTGACTCTGAGGGTGGGGGTTCGAATTCTGGATGGGACTCACCAAACGAAAGTACTAGAATCAGTATTTTACTGAGAAAGTGTAATCCCAAATATAACATATGTTCCAAAATTGATCGTGATGATAGCAAATGTTGTCCCCAAGGGCTATGTCTATTCCTGGAAACCCATCCTATTAAGGCCTGCTCCATAAACCAATACAGAATATTAATTATACCATGGCGTGTTATGTATGTACGATGGTGTTCTGCATCAGGCTTACTCGTTGACAGCAGCGCCAGAATTTCAGGATGCTTTGCTGTCCTTCATGGAGTCTAATGCCACCTTGTAATGGTATCATGCTGTCAGTATGCTTTAATCTCAGGATAGTTTGAAATCAAAATGTTTCTCAGATTACACCAGAATATGGAAGCCATTTGTGGGAAATTAGATTTGACAGAGGAATGTTGTGATGAAGAAGATGTCCCAACTTCTCTTAGATGCTACACGGTGTATTGATTGTCCAAGGCTCCCAACCCACCATGGTATCTGATGCGAGGAGCCTAGTCTAAACACTCATCAGCAGCCAATTAAATGATGAAAAACCTTATCTTTATTGGTCGGAATGTGCATGAGTACGTAGGGATAGTTTGGCCCCACACATATCTGGTGTAGGTATCTGGGATATAGGGCTGCTCAATATAACCGGTTTGCCGGTATTTACCGGTTCAGACATGAAAACGATAGGTATTGCGATATGCTGATTGAAAACCGGTATTTTGACTTGCATTCGGAAAACTTCGTAACACTCGGAAATCTTCGGAATCGCCTTGTTTCATTTGTGCCAAATATTATTCATATTTTTATTTTGTCATGATTAAAAGTTGTTATTAAAGCTTAATCAAGCCTAGTGTTTTTGTTGTGTTTTTGCTCTATAAATCAAAAATTAACTCGATTATAAGTAGTTTTTTGTTTAAAAATACTTCATGCAATATATTGCAATACATATCGCAATACATGCTTTCGCATCGCAATATATCGCAATATGAAAATTCTCTGCAATACCCACCCCTACTGGGATATTCAGGGGGCAGTGTTGGTATGTTCATGCCTTTGACAGTCACTTAGTGTGATGTGTAGTGATGGGTATTTGTGTGTATTGACTTTCATCGAGTTTGATTAAATTTATCACAAACAATGTACAGTCAGTCACAGAGAATTATGTGTTTTGACTGTCATAGAGGATAGTGTGTATTGACAGTCAAAACCGTCAGTATCTATTTACAGTAACATGGAAATTCTACCCATGAAGATCCATTTTAGAACTGGTCTTCAGCAACCCGGGAACGGGTGGTCAGGCTTGCTGACTTGTTTGAACACATGTCATTGTAACCCTTGTGGATTATAGATCGATGCTCATGATGTTGATCATTGGATTGTCTGGTCCAGCCTCGATTATTTACAGACCATATTGCTGGAACGTTGCTGGAAAGTAAGGCGTTAAACAAAAAACAAAACATGGAGTTTGTTTCATTGACAGTCACAAGGATTGATGCGTTTTGACTAGTGGTATGACCTGCTCCTAAAACCAAACAATTGTGGGAAATGTGTAGTGGGAAATGTAACTTTTCATAATGTAGATATGAAACTGTAACTTCCGGTGTTTGAAAGATTAATTATTCATGTAATGTTACTCTCCAGACTTTAGTTTGTGGCAAACCTTTACTAAACCAGAAGGTATTGAAATTTGAATGTATTTGAATGAAGACTACTTCCCAGGCTAGACAAATTCTGTTGAGAGTAAACTCAGCTGGTAATTTTATATAGTCTAATAACCCCACCAAAGTGTAATAAGAATTATGCTTACTGCTGAGTTTGGGCTAGTAGAACTCCAAAGTGTTTGTCTGAGACTGCCTCATCTCACACCAGTATGATATCTGGTATTGTCAGTTTTCAGCTTGATCTAAATACCTCAACATAGGAATAGGCCAATTCCGCCATTTGAATGTTTGGATTTGCTGCCAACAGTAGGCTTGACGTCTTGATAAAAAGCATCATTTCAATAAACACTACTCTATGGGGAGCAAGAAATATCTCACATCATCTTGTCTGGGAATGTTTTCTTATGGAGAATATTCTCTTTAGATTTGTGAATATGATGAGGATCTTATCCTTGCCGTGCAACATTATAGCAGACAACTTACTGTTATCTGCAACATCCAATGTTAATTGTTCTGTTATGCAAGATATATGTGGATTCTGTACATTTGTTTGATGTCTGTTGCCGTGTTTGAGATAATAAATGGCCATAGAAAACGGATAAATTGCTTGATCACAAGGACAAAAAATTTGTGTTGGATCAACAAGACCTCCAGTTATTTTTATTTATGTTCCTGTATCATACACACAAGCACTGAACAGCTTCCCAGCATCAAATGCTTTTGATAAGATGAAGATGAGGTACCATTTGGTGGTTATGGGTCAGAATAGGTCCCCAGTACCCCATGCTTTTCTTCCTGTGGGGACAGACCATGCTAGGCCACACCCTCATGCTTGCTTCTTCCTGTGGGGACAGGCCATCCCAGTACCCATGCTTGTCTTCCTGTGGGGACAGGCCATGCTAGTACCTCATGCTTGTCTTCCTGTGGGGACAGGCCACACCACCATGCTTGTCATCCCTGTGGAGGCAGGTATCCCCCATGCTTGTCTTCCTGTGGGGCCATACTAGTACCCCATGCTTGTGCTGTGGTGACAGGCCATCCCAATACACCATGCTTGTCTTCCTGTTTCTTCCTGTGGGGACAGGCCATGCCTGGTACCTCATGCTTGTCTTCCTGTGGGGACAGACCATGTCTTCCTGGTACACCATGCATCATGCTTGTCTTCTCTGGGGGGACAGGCCATGCTGGTACAGACCCCATGCTTGTCTTCCTGTGGGGACAGGCCATGCCAGTACACCATGCTTGTCTTCCTGTGGGGACAGACCCCGCCTGTAGTACCCCCATGCTTGTCTTCCTGTGGGGACAGACCATGCTTGTCTTCCTGTGGGACAGACCATCCCAGTACCCATGCTTGTGTCCTGTGGTACACCATGCTTGTCTTCCTGGGGGGACAGGCCATGCTGGTACACCATGCTTGTCTTCCTGTGGGGACAGGACAGGCCATGCTGGTACACCATGCTTGTCTTCCTGTGGGGACAGACCCGCCTAGTACCCCCATGCTTTTCTTCCTGTGGGATACTTGATTAGAAAAGATTGGCACTGATGCATGCTTGTCTCTTTTTTGGAGTTCAGGTCAGAATAGGTCCCCAGTACCCAAGTCTTGTCTCCCTACGGTTCAGGGGTGGATTCTCTGATGAACACCCTCCATGCAGTAAAATGAGTGGTTAGAATGCATCCTGATTGAGTTTCTTCTTGTAGAGCACTGCACGAGCTGTCAATCACTTGTTTTCCTGGCACCAACATCATGTTATCTTTCCTGATCTCAGTGTAAATATTTTTATGATGAATGCTGTGCAGACAAATTGTATTGAGGTGTCCTATAATGTGTCATGCTTTACCTTTCAGAACCAAGATCTGGTTTTCGTATCGCCTTCAACATGTTTGACACTGATGGTAACCAAATAGTTGACAAGAAAGAGTTTCTGGTGGTAAGTACAAGATGTGGAGCTGTGGAGGTTGCCTGGTCACAGGTGGTCATCTCAGGGTACACCTGGGTCATCAAACCGGGAGGGGTGTGTTGGGAGGTGCTTCATGGTCACCTCAGGGTAGACCTGAGTCATCAAACCGGGATGGGGGTTGTTGGGAGGTGCTTCATGGTCATCATCTGAGGTTTAACCTGAATCATGAAACCAGGATGGGGGTTGTTGGGAGGTGCTTCATGGTCATCTGAGGTTTACCTGAATCATGAAACCAGGATGGGGGTTGTTGGGAGGTGCTTCATGGTCATCTCAGGGTACACCTGAATCATCAAACCGGGATGGGGGTGTTAGGAGGTGCTTCATGGTCATCTGAGGTTTACCTGAATCATCAAACTGGGATGGGGGTTGTTGGGAGGTGCTTCATGGTCATCTCAGGGTTAACCTGAATCATCAAACCATGATGGGGGTTCTTGGGAGGTGCTTCATGGTCATCTCAGGGTTTTCCGGAGTCATCAAACCGGGATGGGGGTGTTGGGAGGTGCTTCATGGTCATTTCAGGGTTAACCTGAATCATCAAACTGGGATGGGGTTGTTGGGAGGTGCTTCATGGTCATCTCAGGGTTTACCTGAGTCATCAAACTGGGATGGGGGTTGTTGGGAGGTGCTTCATGGTCATCTCAGGGTTTACCTGAGTCATCAAACCGGGATGGGGGTTGTTGGGAGGTGCTTCATGGTCATCTCAGGGTTAACCTGAATCATCAAACCGGGATGGGGGTTGTTGGGAGGTGCTTCATGGTCATCTCAGGGTTTACCGGAGACATCAAACCGGGATGGGGGTTGTTGGGAGGTGCTTCATGGTCAGCTCAGGGTTTGCTTGAATCATCAAACTGGGATGGGGGTTGTTGGGAGGTGCTTCATGGTCATCTCAGGGTACACCTGAATCATCAAACTGGGATGGGGGTTGTTGGGAGGTGCTTCATGGTCAGCTCAGGGTTTGCCTGAATCATCAAACTGGGATGGGGGTTGTTGGGAGGTGCTTCATGGTCATCTGAGGTTTACCTGAATCCTCAAACCGGGATGGGGGTTGTTGGGATGTGCTTCATGGTCATCTCAGGGTACACCTGAATCATCAAACTGGGATGGGGGTTGTTGGGAGGTGCTTCATGGTCATCTCAGGGTACACTTGAATCATCAAACCGGGATGGGGGTTGTTGGGATGTGCTTTATGGTCATCTGAGGTTTACCTGAATCATCAAACCGGGATGGGGTTGTTGGGATGTGCTTCATGGTCATCTCAGGGTACACCTGAATCATCAAACTGGGATGGGGGTTGTTGGGAGGTGCTTCATGGTCATCTCAGGGTACACTTGAATCATCAAACCGGGATGGGGGTTGTTGGGATGTGCTTGTTTGTACACGTGGATCCACAAGTCAGAGATAGGGGTTGTTGGGATGTGCTTGTTGGTACACCTAGATCCACAAGTTGGGGATGAGACTCATTGGGATGTGCTTGTTTGTACACGTGGATCCACAAATCAGAGATAGGGGTCGTTGGGATGTGCTTGTTGGTACACCTAGATCCACTAGTCGGGGATGAGACTCGTTGGGATGTGCTTGTTTGTACACGTGGATCCACATTTGGGGAAGGGGGTTGTTTGTAAGGGTTTGGTGTACACATCATGGTATACCTGAATCATCAAGCCATGATTTGGAATATTGGCAGGTGCTTGTTGGTACTCATGGATCCACAAGGGATGGCAGTTGGTGGAAGTTCTGGTCATCTCATTGCGCACCTGGATCATTATGGTCAGGGATTTGGTTTGTTGGCAGGTGCTTGTTGGTCATCTAATTCTACACCATGATATAGATGTGAGGAGGGGCATTGTAGGGAGATGCTTGTTGGTCATCTAATTCTACACCATGATATAGATGTGAGGAGGGGCATTGTAGGGAGATGCTTGTTGGTCATCTAATTCTACACCATGATATAGATGTGAGGAGGGGCATTGTAGGGAGATGCTTGTTGGTCATCTAATTCTACACCATGATATAGATGTGAGGAGGGGCATTGTAGGCAGGTGCTTGTTGGTCATCTAATTCTACACCATGATATAGATGTGAGGAGGGGCATTGTAGGCAGGTGCTTGTTGGTCATCTAATTCTACACCATGATATAGATGTGAGGAGGGGCATTGTAGGCAGGTGCTTGTTGGTCATCTAATTCTACACCATGATATAGATGTGAGGAGGGGCATTGTAGGCAGATGCTTGTTGGTCATCTAATTCTACACCATGATATAGATGTGAGGAGGGGCATTGTAGGCAGGTGCTTGTTGGTCATCTAATTCTACACCATGATATAGATGTGAGGAGGGGCATTGTTGGCAGGTGCTTGTTGGTCATCTAATTTACACCTAGATCATGAAGGCTGGGGACTTCAGGACATATTAGTAATATATTCTCATGTATCCTTCTACTAGTTAAAGAAGTGTCATAGATTCTGTATGCTTAGGATGTATTTTACTTTTGTATTTTGAATACTTTTAGTGTCTTCTGAATGGTTGGGACATTATATAGCTTTGTTGAGGGTATCGTATGTTAAGGGCTTTTGTGTCATTTCATAGGTTTTGTATGTTAAAGACATTCCACTGGCTCTGTATGTTTGTTAAGGAGATTTGGCTTGTTATGTTCATCAAGTTTCAAATACGTTTGAATTATGTTACGATATGAGAAATATGATAATGTTCATGGGACCTGTAGAGAGCCTAACTAGTTTGCATTGTCCTAGATTGTGGTTCTGGGATTGACAGTAGTCCGAACCTGTTGGGTGAGATGAGTACGGCAAAATTGATCATTCAATAAACAAATATGTTACCAATTGACACATTAAGGCGGGGTGGGGACATCTCGAGCTGTTCAGTACAACCACCCACCTGCTGCATTGTAATGGAGTGTATGTGATATGTCGTGATGGTGCCGTGTTGATAGCTACACAAATACGAGTTTGAGACTCAGTGCCACGCCATTTGTTGAGACACCCCAGAAGTTTATCATTGGAATCGTCCATGCATTAAAGTGCATGGCAAATCATTAATAACTGGATAATCTGGTGTGATCTTATGAAGTTTGTCAATCTGGTAGATTTTACTAAGGATTTTACTAAGAGGAATGCTGTCAATTTTTACAGTATTTTCATTTGATATGGAACTCCCTCCTGAATCTGTTTGTCTGCCGGGCGGTGGGGTAGCCTAGTGGTTAAGGCGTTCGCTCGTCACGTCGAAAACCCGGGTTCCATTCCCCACATGGGCACAATGTGTTAAGTCCATTTCTGGTGTCCCCCGCCGTGATATTGCTGGAATATTGTTAAAAGCAGCGTAAACCAAAACTCACTCACTCACTCACTGTTTGTATGCCTTTAAGACCTCAGACACTGAATAAGAATACTAATCCAAATCAAGTCCAGGGTGATTTGGCTAGTCTAGATTGCTTTAGCTCTGAAATTAGGCATTGCTTTGGGTTTTTTTTTCAGATTTTATTTTTCATTTTGTAGCAACAGTGAATATATTTTTAACTGTTTCTTGGACTAATTGTTAGTTGAGTGAATTGCTTAGTCCCAAGTATGAGTCGGGGTACAGGATACTTCAGTATTCATTGATGATAAAGATGTTAAGAATATGAGTGTAAACTGCAGTTTTCAGCAGAGGTTTATGCACTAACATTATCAGAGTACACAGGGGTGGGGGGTAGCCTAGTTGGTAAAGCGTTTGCACATCAAGCCGAAGACCTGGGTCCAATTCCCCACATGGGTACAATGTGTGAAGCCCATTTCTGGTGTCCTCCTGCTGTGGTATAGCTGGAATATTGCTAAAAGCAGCGTAAAACTCACTCACTCGTTTGCTCACTCACTCAGAGTATGCAAGCCAGAGATGTGTTTTACTTAACTTCGGACTGGTGTGTTAATATGTAAGTGTATTATTGATTTCTTGAATCCAGTGTTGAGGTTCTTGAAATGGTCGGTGGCACACCCTGTTGAATAGGGTCGCCAGTAGCACTGAGACAATTACATCCCAACATACCTAACCCTGAAAGAAATGTTACGTCATTGCTACTCAGCACTTATTACAGACCCCTTCAAGAACTGACTTGGGAATAGATACATCCTGAACACAATGTTGTATTACTTGCAGAATCTGAACATTCCAGCAGTTTTTGAGAAATGAGCTGTCCGTTTAATGACCACGCTCAAAGACCTCGAGTCACAATATCCCCCCTATGAGGTCCCTGCAAACATTGTATACTGCCTGGAATTAGCGAGGGTTAAAAAACCCGCTGTATTGTTTGGTACTCAATTGTCACAGGTATTTGTGTCTGAGACCCCCAGGTGTATCTGTGTGGGGTATGACGGGAATTATCTCTGCTAATTTCTTGTATTTCTGATGTATATCTGCATAAACATAACAGCGAGAGGTTGATAAAGAGATAGCACTCGGAGTGGGAATTTCTTCTCTTCTGTTTTAAAAGAATTTTCAAATGGTTGGACTTCGTGATATGGGAAGGATGTGTGTTCCTCGTTGAGATTTGAAAAACTGGTAAAGTTTGGGGAGCAGATTTGTGGTCAAAGGGAAGCAACTCTGTTAGGTTTGTCTGTGGGAAACTCTCCATGTTTGAGCACAAGGTACATTAATCATAGCCTTCACTCTTTATGTGAACATTTAATAGGTTATAAGTCATTGGTGATTTAGTACATATGTACATTCCAGTGTGTGTTACATTCACATTGCCACCCAGAGTTACCTCCCATGACAGACAATAGTGGATGAGTAGAATTGATGGGATATTGTAAGAAGCGAAAAAAAACCTCACTCACTCACCCTTCATTCTGAAGTGTTACCATATACTCATTTCACTTTGATTTAATATCTACGCTTCCTGACATACAACATTACTTTGGAAGGTTCTTTGGAAACAAGTGACCGCCTCCGTGGTGTAGTGGTTAGAGCATCCGCCTG